CTCCATTTCTCAGTGTCTGAACCAACTTTAGCATTAAAATCCCCAACGAGTATCGGCCTGTCATCAGACGGTATAAGCCTGATTTTCTCACGAAGGTCGCCGTGGAACTATTCCTTCACCTCCTCTGAGTTGGTCATTGTTGAGGCATACACGCTGAGGAAAGTGGCATACATCTTGTAGTGGGAGTCTCATAGCCATTATTCTGTCGTTGATTGGCACTGGCTCCTCGTCCTTGTTAACACGCGCGACGTCCGAGCCGGTACGAGTTGTTTTCTGACTAACCATTTCATGAAACTGCTCGCAAAGAATTTAAGTACTGCTAGCTTTTGCTGGACTAGCAGCACATTATCGGGAGATGGAGGTGTTTAAGTGGCAAGGATTGGTCAAGACAAACTGACTCCAGTATCTGTTGCAGTGACTGATCAGATGATAGGTTTGTTTGTCTCTGCTCTTTTTGAAATGCATGTCACAATGGACTGACTGGCAAAAGTCTGCCACAAACCTTACGAAAAGGTTATACAAAAGTATTGATCACCTACAAGGATGTCCATTCTCACTCCGAGTAAATGGGAGTGGTCCGCCACAGACCTTAAGACAGATATTGTTTTTAATTCTGTCAGGATTCCCAGTTTCACGCTCCATGCCCTCTATGGGGCGGGGTTGCCGGTTGAGTCGGCTTCCCGACCCATGAGACGGGTGGTACTGGTTTTTATGGTTATCCAGTAGCAAGCAAACAAATGCCTGACCTGACTTGGTGATAAACTGCTAGAAAAACATTTTCAAATGTTCTCAGAACGTTGAAGTGAAAGGTTTATCGATCCTTCTTATTTTTTTAAGAAAGCCGCAACCTTTCAAAAACCACCTAATTGATGGCGAGACACCCGACACACGGGTGATAAGATAAACAAACGAAGCCAATATTGTGAATTCTAACACTTTAGGCTTGTTATAAAAAGGTTCCAGTTGTAATCAAATCGGCTTCGAAAATGGATTCCTCTTTGTAGTGATTCATTATGAATCCAGATTATCAAATCGTTCGGTTAACTTGTCACTAAAAACAATGTTTCCCTAATAACAGGAGAGGATGGCAATGGAAAAATAACGGCAGAAGCCATGACAACTTCCATGAACATCGCCTTACTGGTAGCCCTGTTCCTGCGAAACTCCGATCGCATTCAGAAAGCCATCGAGATATGCAACGAATGTTTAATTTTGCTAAACAACAGCGATCAAAACAGCAAAGATCAATTTGATTCAGTACTACTACATATTTACAGCGACATCTATACAGTTCTTTACAGCGCTTATCGTCATATCTCTGACTACGTAAATGCGGAAAGATACGGCAGGAAACTGATTGTCTTCTACAGCGAGTCTGGAAGTCTGTTTTATAAACTTGGCGAAAACCTAAAAGCGAAGGAGTATGTTGCAAGGGCCCTTACCATAACGACCGAAATTGGCGACAAAAGCGGAGAAGCATCCTGTTACGCAAATTTAGGTGTTGTGTTTCAGTCGCTCGGGAAAGACAACAAGGCTAAAGAGTATCTCCACAAAGCACTTGTCATCAGAACTGAAATTGGCGACAGAAAAGGAGAAGGACAATGTAATGCAAACCTAGGTGCTGTGTTCCAGTCGCTTGGAGAATACGAGAGGGCTAAAGAGTATCTCCACAAAGCGCTTGTCATCACAACTGAAATTGGCGACAGAAATGCAGAAGGCACATGTTATAGATACCTAAGTCATGTGTTTCATTCACTCGGAGAATACGACAGGGCTAAAGAGTCTCTCCACAAAGCACTTGTCATCAGAACTGAAATTGGCGACAGAAAAGGAGAGGCAACTGACTACGGAGGCCTAGGTGCTGTGTTTCATTCGCTCGGAGAATATGACAAGGCTAAAGAGTATCTCCACAAAGCCCTTGTCATCACAACTGAAATTGGCGACAGAAATACAGAAGGCACATGTTATAGATACCTAAGTCATGTGTTTCATTCACTCGGAGAATACGACAGGGCTAAAGAGTCTCTCCACAAAGCACTTGTCATCAGAACTGAAATTGGCGACAGAAAAGGAGAGGCAACTGACTACGGAAGCCTAGGTGCTGTGTTTCATTCGCTCGGAGAATATGACAAGGCTAAGGAGTATCTCCACAAAGCCCTTGTCATCACAGCTGAAATTGGCGACAGAAAAGGAGAAGGAGCATGTTATGCAAACCTAGGTACTGTCTTTCAGTCACTCGGGCAATACGCCAAGGCTAAAGGTTGTCTCGAAAAAGTGCTTGTCATCAGAACTGAAATTGGCGACAGAAAAGGAGAAGGAGCATGTTATGGAAACCTTGGTAATGTGTTTCAGTCGCTCGGAGAATACGAGAGGGCTAAAGAGTATCTCTACAAAGCGCTGGTCATCAGAACTGAAATTGGTGACAGAGAAGGAGAGGCAACTGACTACGGAAACCTAAGTAATGTGTTTCATTCGCTCGGAGAATATGACAAGGCTAAAGAGTATCTCCACAAAGCCCTTGTCATCACAACTGACATTGGCGACAGAAAAGGAGAAGGAACATGTTATGCAAACCTAGGTTCTGTGTTTCGTTCGCTCGGAGAATACGACAAGGCTAAAGAGTATCTCCACAAAGCGCTTGTCATCACAACTGAAACTGGCGACAGGAAAGGAGAAGGAGAATGTTATGCAAACCTAGGTGCTGTGTCTCAGTCGCTCGGAGAATACGACAAGTCTAAAGAGTATCTCCACAAAGTGCTTGTCATCACAACCGAAATTGGCGACAGAAAAGTAGAAGGAGAATGTTATGTAAACCTAAGTGCTGTGTTTCAATCGCTCGGAGAATACGACAAGACTAAAGAGTATCTCCACAAAGCGCTTATCATCACAACTGAAACTGGCAACAGAAAAGGAGAAGGACAATGTTATGCAAAACTAGGTGCTGTGTTTTATTCGCTCGGAGAATACGACAAGTCTAAAGAGTATCTCCACAAAGCACTTGTCATCATAACTGAAACTGGCGACAGAAATGCAGAAGGAACATGTTATGAAAACCTAGGTGCTGTGTTTCGTTCGCTCGGAGAATACGACAAGGCTAAAGAGTATCTCCACAAAG